TTTTTAAACTCGAAAAAAATATTCGACATGGATCTTGTTGGATAGATCTCGACGAGTACAATAAAATTCATATATAACACGTTCTCTAATTTTTTACGGATCATGAGATATGGTCGTTTAAAAATTAGAGATGTTTTTTAAAGGAGAGAGAAAAAAAATCAAAGAGACGAAACCTGTAAATTATAGGATGTTATTTAGAAAAGTGAAAAAAAATGTAGTAAGGACTAATAGTGTAAAAAATAGGAGGGGGAGTATGGTGTCCCCGGGTATACTGGATAGAGACTCTTCCAATCTTTGATAGTAGAAAAACCGTGACATGTTTAGACATGTTTGGACTAAAAAGAGACAAGTAAACAAACAAAAATAAAAATAAAGAGACAAAGAAATCATTACGAATAAAAATTTTAGATAATTCATACATCTGTTTCATAGTTCAATTGGTATACATGTTGAAACAAACATAAGCCATAACTCAGTGCTCTCCAACACTTTCTATCAACGTATCGGTGCATAGTGCACAAAAATCGTCACCAATAGTAATTTTCTAGATCAGACTGAACATATATGGTCAAAGATAGAAAAACCGATCACTTCAAATTATAAAGATATGGGGAAGAGGTTTGTTTCCTTGGAAGATCAAATTACTAGAAGTAAGAAAGTTAAACATTATTGAAAATTAGGAGGTTACCTCTTCAGAGCATTAATATAGTTTTTTCCCTAGTTTGTAGACTTCAAATCACAGCTGATACATGAGAAGATGTCTTGTTAATTACTTGAAATATTTCAAGTTAATGCATGCATGATCAGAATTTGAACATGGAATGAGCTCGCTCCACTTCTACACATTTGCAAAGTATGAAAGTAATTGTTGAGAAATCTAAATTAAGAAAGTTTTCTTTAGAACACTGATCAGCGGGGGAGACGATGACGGCAGCAAGGGAGAAGAGAACAAAAAATAATCACGTGACTCCATTTGATTATGTGTTGAGAGTCATGTGGCAAGGATTATGAATCCCACATCAGAGGCATGATGACATGTGAATCAGTTAATAAGTAAGGTGGTCTCACAACCCATTACCTTGAGTTTTTGAGTTCAGATGAATTTTATCTTACTTATTGGGCTCCATGTCGGGTTTTCTCCTCCAGATAAATCCCTAACAGTGGTATCAGAGCCCATGTAGGGCCAAGTGGGTGGGTGATTTAGCCCAAATTATCTCGGTTGATCTGACTGAACCCAAGCAGTCAAAGACCCACTACGAGCGGAAACGTAGGGATGGGCGGCCCAGTTACTCAGGTGGAGTACAAATTTGGGCTTGTCGAGATAATTTGGAAGCCCGATGTGGAGATTGCTCATGACGGGGGAGAAAGTTGAGAATCATGTGGCAAGGATTATGAATCCCACATCGGATTCATGATGACATGTGAATCAGTTAATAAGTAAGGTGGTCTCAGAACCCATTAGTTTGAGTTTTTGAGTTTAGATGGGTCTTATCTTACTTATTGGACTCCATGACAGATTTTTTCATCCAGATAAATCCCCAACATTATGTTCTTATGGGATGGTGTAGGGGTTCACATAATCACGTGGTAAAGATAAAAGTAAACTTCAATTGTGGGAAATAAACAACAAAAGTAGACTGGAGTCTCTCTTCCTTGATCTGGTTAGCCGTCCAACCCCACAATGGACTAATCAGATGGGAGAAAGGTGGTTCATTTATATGGAAAAATATCATCATTCATCAAAGCAGTCATGCATGCCGCCATCTTCAGGAGTTAAAGCCCAACAATGAAAACCAACACTAATAACATCATATACTCATTCAGTCTCAAAATTATTGTCTACTTTAAGATTTTACTTTAGTATAATCTAAACTAAAAATAAAAATCTAAATTAGACGTTAACTTCATGACGGAAGGAGTATTTGTTTAGCATATAGTTCTATATCATTCAAATTATCAAGTTCCGTAATCCTAATGGGGGAGCCCAAACTTTATGCAAGTAGCAGCACCAAACACACCATCCTGAAGCAAAGGTAAAACATTGGTTTTGGTTAACAAACAAAGAACAATTTTTGACCCTCCACACCATCGAATGAGGAGTCTGACGGCAAAAGTACTAGGACTGATGCTCTGTGCATAACTACTTATCAATGAAGTTGTGATGGAAGTACTAGGACAGATCAGTAATAAGGAAATATGGCACAGGTAAAGCAAGGGAAGAGACTTGAAAGAGTTCAAGTGTCACTAAGCAAACAGGGAAGTTTCCGTTATATAGCAGCATTATCTATAGTAATCACTAATCAACAAGTGTTCCACAATGAATTTCAGAAAAATCATCATCTAAATCTCGACAGTCGGAAATCTCAAGATCTAAATCCATTCTTTGATAACATCATCACATAAGTAAGAAAGTTAATGACAGCCACATCACTGAAAAATTTTTCATTCCAATATGAATGGGTCAAAATCCTAATGCCCACGATATTAACTAAACAACATTCAATTCTGTACAGAATGTGGCAATCCCTCAGCTTAATTTCAACAGTAGCCAGTCCTATTTTATAGCTTGAAGAAGCTAGGTTGCTTTCTTATTCTTTCTTTTTGAGGTATAATCATCCTCATCCTCATCATATTGATATGCACAATCACATCCTGGATCACACATTGTTGGATCTAGATCCCAGATGACATGTCCATCAATTTTATCCGTATAGGAAAAGGTTCCATCAGGATAGAATTTATGGATTGGGATTTTTGGATCTGTTTCATGTGATACTGGCTGTATCATCTGGGAAAATTCTGGATTAAATGGCCCTTCATCTTTATGAATTGTGAAAACTGTTTTGTCTTTCCCTCCTAGAAGTCTTTTGAACTGGAAATCAGTAGGTCTTACAGTTTCATGTTTTTGATGGAGCGTCTCATAATTAGTAATCTATTTGTAGGAACCAATTTTTCTAGATCAGATCTGAAAATCTGTTTAGGAATTTGAACAATTGTTGGCACTTCTGATCCAGTATTGGCAAGTATGAGAGGAGTGACGAGTCCATATCTACCACCGATATTGGGCAGGCTCATTAACCGAGTAAGGGGTCCGACCGACTCCAATAGAGCGGCAACATGACTAAACCCTATTAAGATTTGGGTTCCATTAGGGTATTCTTATGCCTATAAATAGGGATGAAGGTACCACAATTGAGGTGCGCTATCTCTAGCACCAATTCACATATACACATTATCTCGCAACCCTATTTTCTGACTTAAGCTTCGGAGTGTCTACCTCCGGGAGGCCCCGAGGCTCTGTTTTATAGGAAACCCTAATCAGAGTTTCACCACCAAACCGAAGGCACGATTCCAGGCATCGTCAAGGAGCATCTTTTATGCCTTGACTAGGGAGATCAAGGCTATGATCTTGTAATCGATACACAATCTGGTGATGCAAGGTTGCCATAATGGAAGAGGATATTTGCTCAGCTCCGGCTATTTGGATTTGGATTTTGAATGCAGTGGAAAGATGAACATCATTTAAGGATACTGCAAAGTTTGGGAAAAAGGTTACAACGACACTTCCAGCAACGAGGGTAGTGAGGATGGTACCAATCACAGTATGTTCATACTGTAAAAAAACGAGTGTCAAGAAGAACAACTCTGGCTGTAACAGGTAGGCCTTTTCTTCCATGATAAGTGAGTACAAAAACGTACTGCACCTAAGTGGAAATGAGAATATCCTTCACTTTTCCGTTGGAGGATTAATTCAAGTGGAATGGATAAGGTAACATATTGTTCAGTGGTTGTAGCTTGTATAGCACAGTTATCCATTTAGAAGTCTGGACAAACTCTTTAGGTTTTGGTAGTCTAGAGGATAGAAGAGATCTAATTCATCTTTTAAGGTAAATATTATATGGGCTTAATAGAGGCGGAACTGTCTGTTCAATAACAGCTCCTTCAGGGATTGTGGAGTATTCAACAAGTTTATCTATCTTACTTGAAGAACAACGAGGTAATGAAAGAGAAGAGGCTATTTGCAGAAGATGATGAGTATGATCTTATTCAGAGGTATTCATAACTAAGGTTGGTTCTTCTATATTCCATCTCTTTCGTCTAACATATGAATTAACTAATTGTTCTCCTTTTGCTTTCAATTAAAAAAGATTAAAAAAAAAAAAAAAGAAAAGAAAAGAAGGAAACACTCGATTATATACGTAAAGTAATGAAGTGTTCTTACGGACAACTGTCAATGAAAATTCAGGTAGGAAGTGACCAAAGCTTCGTGACCGCAACGCGAACACCCCAAATGTGATATTACAATAAGTGGATATATAAAATGAAATCAAAAAAATTGTGTGTAGTGATAGTGTAATGAGATGAAGATAAAAGCTAGACAATAAAGATTACTCAACTTAATTTGAATTTAAGAATGCATTTCCTTTGGTACTACGTTACGAAAATCTTATATTGTTCCAAATTGTACTTCATTTAGTAGTTCCAATTCAGTTTAACAGAGGAAACTACTCAAATTGAAGAAAACAACAATTAATAAATACAGCAAGTTTTCAGCATTCTTATGTGTATGTGTGTGTGCGTGTGATTTTTGGTTGAAGCTTATATATTATAAATATAACAAAAACAAAAAAAGGAGAGTTGATTTCATGCCTAGCTGGAGTTTAACATTAAAATCACACCAAGTTTAAGAATTAAGAAAATGGTGTGTATACTGAAAAGAAAAATAGTGACTGAGTATTATGATTTCTTATTTAATTTGTTAGTATTTTCCAGTTAATTTTTTTTTCTTTCCTCAAAATTAATACACTTTTGCCCCTAATCATTAAGTAATGTACACATCCGTCATTATGGATTTACTATTCATTTTTTACTATCTCTATCATTGTTGTAAGAATTAATCCCTACCTAAACTTGTCAACTTTGAACGAGGTGAGAGAACCAAATTATAGATTTTTTTTGTTTAAAATTTAAACAGAACCAACAGTTAGGACTACAAATAATCCCATTTAAAAACATTGTGAGAAAATTCAACACAACTGATTAATTTCCCAAACATTGCTACTGAAACATCAATTTACACAATTGCATAAACAACTTTAAGACTTTTACATCAAAATATAGTACAAATCAATATGCTACTATGGCAATTTAGTTCATGGGAAAAAAAAAAAAGAGAAAAAAACATCCCTCAATTTGTTGAGATATTAAGCTGATTGATTATTAGTACTGGAAGTAGCATTGTCTGAAGAGTTGTTGTCATCATTCCTCGCGTAGGCTTTGAAAGCAGCCAAACCAACCTTCCCTATTGCTGCAACATCTATCCCTCCCCCATTATTAGCCCCATTTGCCCCACCATTTTGTCCTGCAAAATGTAAGCTTAACAGTAAGAAAGATGATTAACAGCCATTCATAAGAAGATAATTTCATTTGATGACGATGATGATGATAATTTTGCTGCAAAATTTGCTAAAAATTAAGAAGAGAGTAATTAACCTGGAGTGTTATTGACTGATGTAACTGCAGCTGATTTCCTCTTGTAATGCAATATAGCGAAAAAGCCAACAACAGCCCAGATGAGGACAAATACAGGAATAGTTATGCCCAATATGATAGGCAGTTTGCTGCTTTTCTTCTTAGAGCCAGAAGAACCATTCCCTGAGGACCCTGAAGGTGTTAAAGGCGTGACTTTGCAGGATGTTCCAGAGGTGCACAAATCAGGATTGCCCGTTACCCTGATGATTATAATTAGAAAATGTTACATAAGTAGTCATTAAATCATGATTCGAGTAACTACAAATATGTGGGTTGGGGGTGGCGGCGGAATTGGATGGCAAAAAACGAGGGGCTTACACTAGATTCAAGTTCTTGTTGTTTGATAAGGAGGCTGGAATTGGTCCGCTGAATTTGTTATTAGCCAAATTCCTGTGAAAAACACCAAGAAACATATAAATATTAGCCTACTTACAATATTTGAGCCAATTGGAAATGAGTTATAATGTAGCCTACTTACAATTGTTTAAGGTTTCGCAATGAGCCAAGGGTATCAGGGATTGGTCCGTTCAGGCTGTTGTTGTGCAAATCACTGTGGATCAACAGAAAACCGGGCGCGAAATTGTGAGTAACGAAATGAACATCCAACTAAAAGTCAACTAGTGATAAGTTGTGAAGACAGATATGATGAATTCGAAATCTACTTACATGGTCTGAAGACTCTCCATGGAACTTAGATCAGGAAGCATCCCTGATAAACCAAAGCTACTTAAATACCTGCAAATGAGAGATATGCAGATTCCATACTGTGCCTGAATAATTTATGAATAATGCTAAAAATGTGTGACAAGATATATATAGTTGCAATATGGAGATAAAGGAGAGGGAAAATAACTACAGTGCAGTAATTCGAGGTGTGGGATCACTGCTGCAATTAACCCATTCCCATGAATAAGGAGCTGGAAGACATGGATCACCTCCCCACTCTTGTAGTACATCAAAATTAGTTTGCAGCAAAGCTAAGGCGGTCACTTATCAACCCACAAAAGAAAATAGATAGATAACATTAGTAATGAAGCAAAGTGTAACTTATCACTAGCTAGGCCTAAAAAATTCTGTTACTCTCTCCCATATTTTGATAGTCAATTTTTGAACTAAAATAATACTCTCTCTGTGCTAGGTAAAAGAATGTCAATATTGTATTTAATGAATTACCCAAAAAACAGTACAAATCACAAATTGTAATATATCATTTTTCTAGAATGAAGAGAGTACAATAATAGAATATTTGTAACAAATCAGATACATATTATACAACAAGTAAAAGTTAGACATTCTAATCTATGAAATATTGGATTTGCATTCTTGAGTAACAAAATAGATGAAAAAGTTGTTCAAAGTGCCAAAGCAAAATCTTCCAGGGGTGAATACCTTCTACAGTTCGGTTAAGTCTATATACACCATCAATTAAATATGGTAACTTACGTTTCATCATGTGCATAATCTTGGGATCCTAATGTTGACTATTTACATTTGGTCCTATGTTGACCGTTTACATTTGATTCGATTGGGGAATGAGGAAAACTAAATCCCAATTGCTGTTTTTGTTTCTGCATTCCTCACTTGTTAAATTAAAATAAGTCATTCCGATTCAAGCAGGAGGTGCACAATTTATCGCCTCCACAACAAAGATTCTAACAAAATTAATGGAGTAAATCGAAACATTTTCAACCTTGGAAACCAAAAACGAATTTGAATAAAAAGAAGGGACATCAAGCAAAATTTATGCGTTGACTAAATACTACAGTACGTACCATCATCGCTGTTGGTTCCATCGGTCAACGGGTCACTAACGAGAAATACTTCCATAGCATTAATCAACGGCGGCAGCGTGGAGCCGGAATCCGCCCTCAAATAAAACGTAGTGTTCGACGATGCCGTATCGTTGCTGACGACGATCTCGTTGAATTCGCCGAAGCTCGGCGAAATGGGGTCGGAGTACGACGCCTGGCCCTTGTATAGAGTGAACGACCTTGTATCCGTCGTGGGGTCCAGTTCCGTCACTTCAGAGAAATATAGGTTCATGTAAACCGGAACCTCCGTTGGCGGAAAATTCGTGGGCAGTTGAATCATAAACGACACGTTGGGCGTCGTCACGGCGTGTGCCAACGCCGCTTCCGGTGGGTAGTCGCCGTCGGCGGTGTTTATCGTGGGAGACTCATTTGTTACCGCAAGTAGTCCATTCAAAGCGGGACTCGGCTTCCATATTCGGTCATAAGAATCGTCCGAGTACCTGTTATCACATTATATAGTTTACATTCGATACAAATCAAATTTTAAAAAAAAAAAAAAACAGTAATGTAGGGAAAGTCCTACATTAATGTTTATTACTCCATCCGTCTCATAATTATTGTCCATTTTGAGTTTTCATTTCGAGTTATAATTTTGTACTAAAAGTGAAATATCAAAGTAAATAACATGGGACAAAGTGAGAAGTAATTCATATTATAATTTGTAAATTATATAAAAATATAAACACTCCCTTTATTCCAAAATGATTATTCGGTATGAATTTTCATTTTCAGTACAATAATTGTCCGGACGGATTTACAGATTGTAATGTAAATTATTTTTCGTGTCTACACATTAAAATACCTGATGGTATCATTGGCACCAAAAGCAATCCTTCTGGTTAAGAACAAAGCATGACCATCCTCCATAGACGAATACATTGAGGGATCCAAGGCGCGGATTTCTAGAGCAGAAATGAACGGAAACTGACCCGGAGTGGTTTGAGCTACACAAATGCTGGTGGAATCCGCGTTGACTGCATAAATCGCCTCGTAATACACTTCCGAATCGGTCGATGTTTGCACCGTAACCCAATTATTCCCGTCGAATTGGAGATCAAAGGAAGGAGGAGACGATTTCTGGTCGTAATTACCGTAGTAAAAACTCGCCCGCGCGAGGATTTTAACCCCTTGAGTTGTCGGGATGGTGTAACAGTTCTTTCTCCTAGTAGTGAAAACTCGGAGGCTGTCCATGACGTGGGAGATTGAGTTTCCGGTTTGGACAACCTTTGACTCCCCATTGCTGATGTAATCGGTGTCACCGGACCAGACTATCGAATTCTCGTCGGTGTATGTTTTAGAGGATGATCCACAATCAATGTTCACAGAAGACACTGCAATCGGAAGAGCGAATTAGAAGAACATCAAGTTCATCTCATTCATTTTAAAAAAAATAAATTAAATGGCATGTTAGCTAGCTACTACTTCTATCCCTGAATATTAATAGTCTAAGTTGAGTTTGGAGATTTGTATGATTTTTAGTACAAATATCAAACTCAATGTAGACCATTTTTTTTACACAAAGAAAACAGAAAATAAAACTCGGTTTTGTTTTCATGTTAATGTGCCTTATGGAACTTACCGTCGGCGCCAGAGAAGTCGACTGAGATGCAGAAAATGAGGAAGAAGAGAAGAAGAAAAAAAAGATGCCTAGCCATGAATGCTGATGGATTGCTAGCTAGCTGGAAGTATAGTACTCGACGACTTGGAGGGTAGAATGTGTAGTTTTCCGAAAAGTCTTTGTTTCGTGGAATATTTATGGTCGCAATCTGGTGGCAAAGGGAGAAGCTCATGCAGTAGTATTCATCTAGGCCGTCAATATCTGCCCACCTTTAATCAAGGAGAGATAATGAACTTATTTATTATATTTATATGAATCCAAAGGGGGAAAAAAAATTGTCACAAAATGTAAGCTGCACAGAAAGTCGAAATTATTCCATGCACGTCAAAAATAATCTACTTTATTAAAAATCAAATAATTGATTTTTTTTTTTTGTATTACTGTAAATCAAAATGTTTAAGTCGACTAATTTATCAGTATTTGTTTGTCATAAGATGTACTAATTACTGTAGAACTGAAGTTATATACAATGTTTACGAGTTGTATATAGTGTATACATTTTCAGTTTAATATTTCCAAACAATAAGTACAAAGTAAATTAACCATGATTTATAATACTCCCTCCGTCCCAAAAAGAAATAGTCCACTTTAAATTTTAAAATGTGTACTAAAAACAGTACAAATCTGAAAACTCAATGTGAACTTTTTTTTGGAACGGAATTAGTAACTAATAACAAATAATCAAAGACCAAACAGCCACGCGGATTTTACATGTTACGCTCCAATCTTCATTTTCTTCATACCCAGTGTTTTAATATACGTACTTTGATAAAGATTAGATATATTAAGATGTGAAAACATGCACAACTGAAGTCGTAATGACCCGCCGCGTTCAAAAGCCTGAACAAAGATGATTGAATGAAAGAGTACCAAATTGCGTCACATGCATGATGCAATCAATCCATTTTCATGTTGCCATTTCTTTTTTTGTTTTTGCTTTGGCAGTTGACTTTGACATCCGAGGAAGACGTGCATTGTGAAGTCGATATATAATAGTAATTCTTCTGGGCAAAAATTAAGTACGTAAAAATTTTTAAACAGTGAATGAATGAAGGAAAATGATTAAGACCAAGGAAAATGAAGGAAGAGGGGGCGGGAGTGTCAAAATCCACAGCTGGATGAGCTGGGAGAATACCAATGATCATGTCGCCAGTTGACTTGTGATTTCCTAGCGATGAAAGTCAGTCAACGCCAGAAAAATTAGAGTTTTATTTCATTTCATTTATCAGAGGAAAAAAAAACAAATAAGATTCCTTCCAAATTCAGAGCAACCAAGTTGCACAATTTCGGCTGGAAAAAACAAGAAAAGAAGCAACACCACCAATTTAAGGCTGGACACAGTTTGTAAGACCAAGTCCAACGAATGTGCAATTATTAATTTCCATTACACTTTAAATTTTAATAATAAAATTGAGAGTATGCCTCTCATGTACCAATTTCAAAAAAACAAATAATAATAATAATAATAATAATAATAATAATAATAATAATAATAATAATAATAATAATGTAGGATGCCCCATTCTTAAAGGAGCTTATGTGAATTTACACGACTAATAGCAAAAACAATTTTGATATAAAGAAAGATGACCCAAAATATACTTCCTTCTGTCCTATAAAAATAATCTAAATCATTAATTATAAATTGTACAGAATTTAATATAAGACATAATCTACCATATAAATTGGTTTTGCTCGATAGAAAAATGGAGTAGTACTAATTAAAGGGCTAAATTTACATGTGAGAAAAATAACCAACAGATTTACATACGCTGAAAGGGGTTTTTTTTTTTTCCAATCATTTTCTTTGTTGTAAATTTTTATACCTTTGTACACATAGCTTCAAATACTTAAACTACAATTTGTACAAATTGTACAAATTTGTACAATTTGTAAATTTCTGTGTTATAATGATTATGATGTTTAGAAATTTTATTTTAATACAATTTGTACTAGAACTAAAATCTAAACCCAACAATCATAGCGACACTTTACATTTCTCATTAAAAAAAAAATTCAAACAGAGCCAAAACATCCTTTTGATTGTTGAGGCATATATATTAAGCTGTTTGATTATTATTATTATTATTATTATTATTATTATTATTATTAGTATTATTTTAAGTAGAAAATTTCATTACAAGCTGGAATCAGCCAGCATTACATGATAACCAGTGCAGAGACGACCAAAAGGTGTCCCCACTTTACAGGACTTTGTGTTATCCGCAATAACATGAGCAATCCAATTATCAGTACGACTAATCCAAAATAAACTTAGACTAGGAAAACCAATTAAAAGGCGCCTGATTTCTTGAGTGATTGGAAGAGCTTCTTGTGAACCATCAAGATCTCCTCTAGCTGTCAAGATGGCATTAAGAGAATCTCCAACAAGTTGGAAATCCTGCAGGCCCAAATTCTGCGCAACCTTCAGGGATTCTTTCAGCGCAATCAATTCGGCCAGCTCCGAATCCGCAACATTTGTGGCGTGAGATGCGAACGCATGGAGGAAGTTGCCTTCAGGGGAGGCCACATAGACACCAAAGCCTGCAATCTGGTTCCATGACGACAGTCCGGCGTCAAAGGTGACAGTGACTTTCCCTGATTTTGGCCGGAGAACCGAGTCCACTTCAAAATTATGCATTTCCAAGTTTTCTGCCTCGGAAGTCTTCCATGATTTCAGCATAGACATAGCTGCAATGACTACTCCCCAGGGATTGCTATTTTTTTGTGCCAAGACCTTATCGTTTCGGGACTGCCATAGAACGTTGCATAGAAAACCAAAGTACTGAGCTTTGTCTCGATCAAGCGCCTGAAGAAGCTCTTCAAACCATCATTGGAAATCCTGCTGTTGGAAATTCATAATCAGGTCCCTTAATCCTGCAATTGATCACACCTGTTGTGCAAAGGAGCACATAAAGAACAAATGCATGGTGCTGTAATCTGAAACTCCACAGAAACAGCAATCCTGATTAACAGAAACATGTCGAATTGCTAAATTTTCAGTTGTAGGCAGTGAGTTGTTCAGGCAGCGCCACAGGAAGTGAAGAATTCGAGGCGGGAAGGATAAGCGCCACAATTTTTTCCACAGGTGAGGGGATGAATTTGATCCTTCTGCCGTCGGATTGTGTACGTTATGGGAGAGATGGTATGCCGACTTTACAGTATGTTTCTCACTCCGATTGCAAGACCAAACATATAGATCATTTGCTTCAGAATGGCCAAGTTGAATTGATAAATCTGATCCGCCTCAGATGGAGCAAAGAGATTACGGACAAGGTCGTATTTCCACCCGCCTGTATCTTCATCAATAAGTAGGGAGACCTTACTGTTTGCAATTCCAATGGAGGCGTTGTAATGCAATGAGGGGGCTTAGGGAGCCATTTCTCTGTCCATAGTACTCTTGCCATTCATCACTTTCGTGTTTACTCCGATTTCAATCAAAGCTTTCCCATCCATAATACTCTTCCAGAGCCAAGAAGATTGGGGAGTTGAAGTAGCTTACAGGATTGAAGTCTCCGGATGGTATTTTGCTCTCAGAACTCGTGCAAGTAGTGAAGTCTGATTGGTGAGCAACCGCCACGCTTGCTTGCTCAACATGGCTTGATTATAACAACGCAAATCCCTGAAAACCAAGCCTCCAGAATCCTTGCTTTTTGTCATTGATTTCCAAGAGTTCCACCGAATTTTCCGACTAACACCTTTGTCCCCCCACCAGAAAGAGCTCATCATTTTCTGAATATCATGGAGAATATTATCAGGGAGCTTGAAAAGGCTTATAGTATAAGCCGGGATAGCTTGGATCACCGACTTTAGAAGAATCTCTTTATCCCCTTTCGAAAGATGTTGCTCCTTCCATTCCCACAATTTTTTTCCAGATTTTATCTTTGATGCTCGAAAAGATAACACCCTTGTTTCGGCCAATGACTGAAGGAAGACCTAAATACTTCCTGTGATTCGAAACAGCTGGAATGCCGAGAATATTGAAGACAATTCCAGACTTATCAAGATTAAGGCACTGGCCGGAGACTTTCTCATACAAACTGATTGCAGAACGGAGATGGGACACCTCCTCAGTTGTTGCTTGGCCAAACAGCAATGTGTCATCTGCAAAGAACAAGTGCGAGATGGCCGGGGATTTCCTGGATACGTCCGGTCCCAGAGATTTAAAAGAGTCCATTTGTTTCAAAGCTTTCACCACCTCTATCTCTGTGAAAGGCATCAATAACAGGCTATTCATATTCTCATCAACCTTCCGGCGAATACGGTGGAGAGCTTGCTGGATATCTTTTTCAATCGGGCAAGATGAGGAAAAAATGTCTCCAAAATACTCCAAAATGATACTCTCTATCTCCTCTTGTGAAGAACATTCTACTCCGTCTTTATTTTGCAACGAAGAAATATAATTTGTTTCGCGCCTGTTACTAGCAAAAGCGTGAAAAAACTTGGTATTCCTATCTCCTTCCTTATACCAATGCTGTTTACTTCGTTGCTTCCATCGAAGATCCTCCTGATCAATGAGAGATTCCAGTTGCGATTTTAGCCCCGAAAGTTCGAACTGAACTTGGTCCGTGATCACCCCCGCTTCAAGAGACTTTATTTGACCTTTCAGCCTGTCAATCTCCTTTGGGATGCCATGCACATTTCGTCCCCCCAGTTACCTTAAACTAGCAGCACATGAGTTGAATTTTGAGCGAAGACAGGATGAAGATTTAGTCCAAACTTGCTCAATAATTCTTTCACAATCAGATTTTTTGATCCAACAAGCTTCAAATCTAAAAGGCTTTCTGCGGGATGATAATTGTTGAAAACTGATGGGCGAGAATTGCACATGATGTAAATCATGATCTGAGATGAAGGACGGACAGTGAGTTACCCTAGACCATTTCAACATATCTTTCCACAAAGAGTTAGCAGTAGAACGATCCAACCGGGCTCGTTGACTTCGGGGAGCACTCATAAGCCGAGACCAAGTGAACTTATTTCCAACATACCCCATGTCTTGCAAATTACAGTCATCGAGAAAACTCCGAAACGAGTTGATTTGCCAGTCAGCCCTCAAACCAGAGCCGCTAAACTCAGATTGCGCGAGTGCCTCGTTAAAGTCTCCACAGCACAACCAGGGAAGTTCTGGTTGTTCATAGAGAGTCTTCAAAGAGTTCCAAGCTTCCCTTCTTCGACTCACCTTTGGCTCCCCATAAATTCCGGTGAATCTGAAAACCGAACCAAAGAGCTCTGGCTCCCCATAAATTCCGGTGAATCTGAAAACTGAACCAAAGAGCTCAACCAAACAATCAACAAATCTGTCCGAAAGAAAACGAAGAGTCACCAACGTATCCTTTCGCCAAAGCAAAGCTAAACCCCCTGATGAGCCCCTAGAATCAACAGCAACACCATACATATTAAACTTGGATTTAAGATCATCAATCAACCGAGAATTACACTTAGTCTCTCACAAGAAGATTAAGTTGGGTGACTTAGCGCGAATATAATCACGGAACTCCTGAATTGTTCGGTGGTTCCCAAGCCCCTGACAATTCCAACTTAGTAGACTCATGGATGTAGGCGGGGCTGGTTCCTCATGCCAGCCTCTGCCTCTGGTAGAGTGAGATCATCAAGTGTTGTTCATCTCAAGATTTAACGGTCACCTTACCACGCTTGCCCGACTCATGTTCCAGTTCGACTCATGGAGCTTCCTTCTCGTTCCTCTTCCACGACCACGACCACCTGAATCCATAGAGACACTTTTCCTCGTCTTATATCTTGTGAAAGTTCTAGCGGCTCGACGAGCTGGGGAGTCCAAGTCAATTGGAACCGCATGTAGAAAAGGGCTTGATGGGAGGTCTGGATGTGATGAGCTCGATGCTGGGATGGTTTGTTGTTGTGGTGGAGAATTTGGTAGGGTTATTGGTGGTTCGGTAACATGTTGGTCAAATGGATGTGTCGGTGGGGAACTTTGTTGAGAAGAGAGTTCCTGAATGGATAAAGAAGAGGGTTGGGGTACTGTTATGTCATTTGGTGGACTAGAGGGAGGCGAGGAGATAGATTCTAAGGTAACAGACGAAGTAGAGATGATTGATGAGTCTGTCGAACTATAATGGAAGGTTTCCGGTTGAGGGAACATTCGAACAAGATTCTCTAGGGTAGCCAACTGAGGAAAGTCCATGAGAACTTTATTCCTCCAAACCCATGTCTTATGGTTGATAAAATGGGGTAACGGCTGAATTAAAGGTTCAACTGAGGGTGTTGGAGAGGTTTTTGGTGGAGTTTTCGGAGCGGTAGTAGAAATGATGGTGGTGTCGTCAACAGGAAGTGAAACAGAAGGGTTATGGTTAGGGTTAGGAATAGGGTTGGAGCATGAAACAGAAGGATTTGGGGAAGCTGTTTTCTTACAATCAAAATCTTGGCGCTTACTTGGGGAGCGATAGACAGAATTCTTGCCGGAACCATGCATGATGCCCTTCCACGTTAGAGTTGCGCCAATTTCTTGAGGGATTGGACGAGGAAGCTTTTCCAGTATAAGTCTGCGCCTTAAGGTTGCGATTGAAGTTGATAACTCGCTCATGAGTGGAGTTATTAAAAATCTTTGCGGGGCAGTCCAGAGCAGCGTGACCAATGATTCCAAAGAAATAACAAAAATCTGGAAGCCTTTCATAACTCAGGTCACACAAAAACAGCTTCTCCTTGAAAGTGATTTCAACCGATTGACACAGCGGTTTGGTGATATCAATGGAAGCTCTAACACGAAGAAAAGCACCAAGCAGCGTGACCAATGATTCCACAGAAATAACAAAAATCTGGGAGCCTTTCATAACTCAGGTCACACAAAAACAGCTTCTCCTTGAAAGTGATTTCAACCGATTGACACAGCGGTTTGGTGATATCAATGGAAGCTCTAACACGAAGAAAAGCACCAAGCAGCGTGACCAATGATTCCACAGAAATAACAAAAATCTGGGAGCCTTTCATAACTCAGGTCACACAAAAACAGCTTCTCCTTGAAAGTGATTTCAACCGATTGACACAGCGGTTTGGTGATATCAATGGAAGCTCTAACACGAAGAAAAGCACGAGCAGCGTGACCAATGATTCCACAGAAATAACAAAAATCTGGGAGCCTTTCATAACTCAGGTCACACAAAAACAGCTTCTCCTTGAAAGTGATTTCAACCGATTGACACAGCGGTTTGGTGATATCAATGGAAGCTCTAACACGAAGAAAAGCACCAAGCAGCGTGACCAATGATTCCACAGAAATAACAAAAATCTGGGAGCCTTTCATAACTCAGGTCACACAAAAACAGCTTCTCCTTGAAAGTGATTTCAACCGATTGACACAATGGTTTGGTGATATCAATGGAAGCTCTAACACGAAGAAAAGCACCAAGCAGCGTGACCAATGATTCCACGAAATAACAAAAATCGGGAGCCTTTCATAACTCAGTCACACAAAAACAGCTTCTCCTTGAAAGTGATTTCAACCGATTGACACAATGGTTTGGTGATATCAATGGAAGCTCTAACACGAAGAAAAGCACCAAGCGGCGTGACCAATGATTCCACGAAATAACAAAAATCGGGAGCCTTTCATAACTCAGTCACACAAAAACAGCTTCTCCTTGAAAGTGATTTCAACCGATTGACACACGGTTTGGTGATATCAATGGAAGCTCTAACACGAAGAAAAGCACCAAGCAGCGTGACCAATGATTCCACGAAATAACAAAAATCTGGGAGCCTTTCATAACTCAGTCACACAAAAACAGCTTCTCCTTGAAAGTGATTTCAACCGATTGACACAGCGGTTTGGTGATATCAATGGAAGCTCTAACACGAAGAAAAGCACCAAGCAGCGTGACCAATGATTCCACAGAAATAACAAAAATCTGGGAGCCTTTCATAACTCAGGTCACACAAAAACAGCTTCTCCTTGAAAGTGATTTCAACCGATTGACACAGCGGTTTGGTGATATCAATGGAAGCTCTAACACGAAGAAAAGCACCAATTGCTAATCCTTCCTGATCGCTATCCGTCCCAACATAACGACCAATGATATTTCCAATCGATTCCGCTGCATCAAACCGAACGGCAAACCTTTTATTTGGATCCAGAACGGCACCCAAGAGAAATCCACCTCATCAATCACATCCTCCTCGTTTAATTCAGTCAGAACAAATAGAAGTTTGCCGATTGTCCAAGGGGAGCCCTGCTGGACTCGACGCATATCAACTGGAGAATTGAACTTGAAGAAGACCTTGTTCTGACCTGCTGCCATGGTTTCCATCCCGTTCTGTACATTCCAATATGTACGAAAATGGTTGACTATCTCATTATGGCTCAAGATCCGATCTTTTGGCGCTATGACTTTCCTAACCAGGCAGCTGCCTCGGCCCAAATTCTGTCCAACAGTCTCTGCTAACGGGACTTTTTTCGGTTCATTAAGACTCAGATTGGCACACATCTCCTCTAATGACAGATCCATGTTGGAAGACATGGTTAGAAACCACCCCACAAAAGGAGATGAGAATAACAGCCTGTTACAGATCCCCTAAACGGCGATGAGATCTGTGAAAACCAATCAAATAAACACAATTAGTAAAATAAATGTTGCAAAACAGAAATATTTTTTGTTTGTTTTCGTAAACCTTGATGGAAATAGTTAGGGTTTTGTAGGCAGAAACTATCAAAGTAGTGGAAAAATATCAAAAGGGTTTGAAAACAACGAGATCAGACAGAAATCTTGAAGAAAGCATAAGGAATTTTGAATTTTTCGATGACGTTTTGCTCGAATGACTGAGGAAATGCTTGGACTACGGAAGACCACCAAAGGAGGCGGGACTAGAACTCTAAGGGACTTCTCATAGACAAACTCTAGGACTGCGTTAATGTCTTTAATTTTAATGATTTGAGTTTAGTTCCTTTGATTAAAAATGTTTGTGTGAAATTTTACTTGATGAAGTAGTTTACAGTAGTGATTCCTTTAGCTGTTTGATTATTAGTAGTAGAAGAAGTAGCATTGTCGACTGGAGAAGTGATTTCCTCATTTCTCACGTACGCTTTGAAAACAGCCATACCAACTTTCCCTATTGCTTCAGCATTTATCCCTGTCCCATTATTATCATCCCCACCATTTTTTCATGCAAAAATTATCAAACAAAAAAATGTTAGTAATTGCATTAATGCAATGAAAATTCTTTTTTTAGCATAAATTCATCGCCATTTAGAAAACTTACCTAATGCATTGTTGACGAATGAAACCGCTGATGATTTCCTCTTATAATGTAATGTTGCAAAAACACCAACAACTGCTTAGATGAGGACGAAGATCGAATAGTAATTCCCAAGATGATCAGCAGCTTGCTGCTGCTTTTCTTCTTGGAGCCGGAAGAGGCACCAGATGATGGCCTTGAAGGCGTGCTTTGGCAGGAATTTCCAGATTACCTGTCACCCTGATCATTTCAAGCGTAAAATCTTAAGAAAAAATAATGTCAGTTCGTAAAAGGACTAAGGCGTAATAAATATTATCATGAAACTCTTTATTATACTATCTTTATCCCAAAAAATAATTCACATTTAGATTTCAAATTTGTACTAAAAATATTAAAAAAATAAAAGTCAATGTGGATTATTTGTTTGTTAACAGAGAGATCGTATTTATCTTTTGAAAAATAGAGTCATTTTATGTTTTAACGATATCCAGTTATGGACCCTAAAATCATTTCACTGAATAAAATTAAGATTTTCCTCCAATTATAGTCGCTTGATTACTCTTGAAAGGATGGATGATTATATATCGCATAGCTAAATTGGGGGCTAGCTTACACTAGGTTCAAGTCGTTGTTCTTAAGCTTCTTTGATAGTGAGGTTGGAATTGTTCCGCTGAATTGATCATTGGCCAAATTCCTGGAAAAACACAAAGGAGAATTAATTAATTATATTGATCTAAATCTAATGGAACCTTTCTTTTTCAAAAAAAAAAAAAAAGTAGATTAATCTAAGTCCAATGTGACATTGAAGAATATTAGATCCTCACAATTGTTTAAGGTTTGGCAATGCACCAAGGAAATCAGGGATTGATCCACTCAGGCTGTTATTATGCAGATCATTGTGGTTCACAGAAAACAGCTCAGAGAAATACCATTAATCATTAAGATAGTGATCAAACTTCACAAACTTATATGTATTTATAATCAAAATCTCTACTTACATGGTTTGAAGACCAGTCATGGAACTAATGTCTGGGAGTTCCCCTGACAAACCAAAGCTGTTTAAATACCTGCAATAATCAATTTCCACAAACATAATCATGTGTACGAATATTACAAATAACTATACTTCCTCAATTCTTCGGAATGAAATTCAATGGGATCCAGAGAAGTGGGAAAATTAATGATTACAGTGCGGTAATCGAGGGATAGGATCACTGCTACAATTAACCTATTTCATGAATAAGGTAAAATGTATGATAAATCAAAATAATTTATATTAATGACTGGAAGGAGTATGTAATTACGGTAACTAACTTCACAGTGCGAGGCACCCGAATATTCGACTACATTATGAATTATATAACTAGCGGCGGTAGATTAACCAAAAAAAAAAATGTTTTCATTGTTTTAAAATAATTGTCCTGATTAAATTTTTATTTTTACTATAAATTGCACTATGAAAATTAAATCTAGACAATTAAGTGACTAGTTTTTTTTTTTTTTTTTTTGCATATTTGCAGGGTGTCCACAGTCGGCAACAGTGACTAATCTCACTCGCTAAATTGTAGACACCTCAATGGGTGAGATAGCTGACCAAACTATTTAAGGTTACTCATGCCCATAGCGAGGTTCGAACCATCGACCTATGGTTAATGGTAGAGAAGTGTCTTTCACTTCACCACAATCACTTTGGTTCAATCACTTTGGTTAGTGACTAGTGTTTCTGCTCATGCAAATTTTCGGATACTGGATTCACCACATTGGGTCTGGTACTGGCAAATTCATCTAGAAAATTTTACTTTGGGCTTAAGTGGCCCATTGGGTTCCTTGTAAGTGGAACTCAAGGCGGGACTTCTTTTCTCGTTGGGCTTCAAAAGCCTTGAATCTATAAAGTGAACTAGAATTTATTCATTTATCTATATTGTTATTACTTAATTTCCTCGCTTAATTGCCTCAATAAAAAGAACTAGTTAAAAATTTTAAAGTTAATCTGTGCATCAGAATTTTGTGAAGAATAAATAAGTCCCTTCTACTCTTTGAAGAACATTTGTGTCCTTTTAATCTCTCTAAGATGTACTCAATAATAAATTCTACTCTTCTGTCCCACAAAAATAGTCCACATTGAGTTTTGAGTTTTGTATTATTTTTAGTACAAATTTGAAAATTCAATGTGGACTATTTTTGTGAGATGAAGGTAGTACCATTTTACTAGTCTTTCTACTCATGTCATCAAGTTTTTGCCACCTTTTGTCATTCCCGCAGCCTATTTTATGAAATTGTCTAATTTTGAAACGTATTCATAGTAAAAGAGATTTTCTATCTGTCCAAAAATTGATAAACCTATTTTATTATCCTATTTTAGTTTAACAAAATATATTATTTTTTAGGACGAAAAGAATACAATATTTTAGAGGTCATTCTTACCTGCATACTTTTTCCATTGGTTTTCTTATACTACTATTTTCATAGATACAGCTGATTCGGTTTTTAGGTTTTTCTTTGAACTTGGAGTCCGCTAGAGAATTGTCAAATGGCCAGGCGCGCGAAGAAACCTCTGATAGTGATAGCCTCGGAGCCTTTGTTGATGAATGCCGATTGTTTCCTGCCGCCTTTTGTCTAATTCTCTCCATTTGGCCACCTTCTTTTCTGTTTTCACATCTCATTTCTTAATTAACTCGTCAATGTTTCTACCGTTCTTTCCCCTGGTCTTATATTATTAATTCATCATTTCAGTATACATTACCTCAATAAATTAAATTTTACATTTTTTACAACAAAAAAAAAGAAAAAAAGAAAAGAAAAAATTAAGTATGGTGCACAAAGATTTAGATTACATGATAACTGATAACAAGCCAAAAATCCTTGCCCTACCCGCCCTAAATGAAAAAGCTAATCATTTACGTATATAATATCAATATTCCCTATAATATAAAATGTACCCGGCCAATGCTTGAATTTGCGTGGCTTGAGTCATCTTTTGACTTTTCATCTTGCAAAATATCAGTTGAAGCAATTATTAAGTGAGATATAATTTTATATAACATCAATTATGTAATTTTATTATATAGTTGTTCTTCTCGATCTCCCTGTATTTGTTATGTCTGGGTATACACTTTCATATTCTCTATAGCCACACGGCATTAGGCGATAACCTAATTGAATACAAAAGTGAATAAAAGTCTCTATCAAATTATGAAACTATTTTGGTTGAAATCATACCAAGTGGGATTAATTAAATTGTAGTGATTAATAAATAAATTATCAAATCAACTTGGTTGTTCATTTCAATCAGCCCATATTCTTCTGCCTTTCTGAGAATGTGCAGTTTCTGTGTTTTATGCAACTGTGCATGTGCATAAAAGATAAAAGTCTTTTGGTTTATGGGATTGGGGATGAATACCATGATTGTTGTTGATTTCAACAACACCTTTACCAACAAATCAACAATTTTCATCTTTATGGATTTGGATTGATGGCTAATTTGTTATTCCAATATTGGTAATCCATCCCATCTTAATGACTTTGCAAGAGTTTTCATTTTAATATATTTTTTTTCCCTTGCATAATACTAGTATATCTTTTAAAGAAGACTGGGTAATTGAGTAATACTTTGATCCTATCTCGCTAATAATCAGTTTTCAGGTAAAGAGATTGACAAATGATTTTTGAGAAAAAAAAAAAAGAAAAAGAAACGACTAACAAGAAACGGTATTCCTCTGTCCCATAATTATTATCCAGTTTGATATTTCACATTTAATACTATTTAAATTAAAATTGAAAATTCAAATTGGACAATAATATGGGACGGAGGGAGTATTAAGTAGATTTTTTGGTTTTAAGTCACAGATAGAGTACGAAAAATTGCATTTCACCTAGAGAAATCCACTCTTAAAAGTGTTTATGTGGTTCTAATCACAACAAAACTTCCCTAAACCATCATCAACCTTTTTTTTCTTTAACTTTTTACTCTACTAACCATACTTCATTACTTACTCATGGCAAATTTGATGAAACTCATTGAATTAATGGCCAATACTGGATATGGGTGGATTATATCCCTATATTTGTTAAACTATTTTGCCATAATACATGGAATTAAATAAAAGAGGTCAACTACGTACATGCATTATTATTAAGACCTTGCTCTATTAATCTACTCTCCTGAATTACTTTAACAGATGCATGAACCTAATTTAAAAACTATATGCTCCACTCAATATATAAGGCGGGGAAAAAAAAATTTTGCTATACAAATTAATTACAGTTTACAACATTCGGTATACGCAATGATTAAACCACATTTCATCGTATAAATACTTCCATCTACTCGTCCCAATATCATAATCCAACTTATTGTACAGAATTTAGATTCTTATTTATGTGAGAATTTGTTGTAATCGGCCGCCCAACTTAATTTGGTTGAAGCAACAAGGAAAACCGAAAAAGATCATTGGCCTAGCAAATTTATTGGTTTGTCTAAACTGTTTTTTTTTTTTTTTACTTGTTTTATATGTTTTGAAATTGAGTTGAGAAATAGTTTAAGAACAAATTTGAACAGTAAATTATTTTTTGCCAATCACCCCGAAAACCATTCTTGACTATTACCATAAGCGTTACCATCGGACCAACCACAACGAATGTGATGGTTTTTGAGTTGTAATTGAAAGGACAAAAATCGTATACGAAAATTCATTCTACGAAATTCACAAATCAATCCATTGTTTGGAATTTTTCAAGAAAACAAAAACACAAAACTAGTTCCAAAACTACCGTCCAAGCTAGTTCCAACCTCCAAAACCTCATATTCACTCTAATTTTAATTATAATAGTATATAAATTTAATATTAAAATTAATTAAATTTTTACATTGTAATTAAAACCATTGTAGATATAATTTTATAAAATATTATTTGGAGACGACAAAACGTGATCTGTTGAATTGAAATAACTACTTCGGGTATGTTTGCTTTGTTATTTTAGGTGTTTTTTGTATTGGAAATATAAAAAAATATTTTAAAAATATGAAAAGGTATATTGAGATGGAACATATATTATTATATCATTCTGAAAAAACTATGAAAAAAAAAAAAAGAAACAAACAGAGTTCGTTTCTTACAAAATAGAGATAATTGCTCCTCTAACTAAGCAAAGACTTGCGGTCCGGTCATCAGTCATCAAGTTCAATAAATTCTTGCTCAAAACAAGACCTCAAAATTTCTGACAGTGACTCAGTAGAGCAGTAAATACTGTCTGTTACACTCATCACTTTCATAATCTTATTACCTTAATTTATGGCTGTCTCTTTCATTTTATTTCCCCAGTTCACATTATCTTAGCTCAACTCAAACCCTCACTTTGATTCACTTCTTCATCCATTAGTACTATTTCCTTTCCCCAAGAGTCAGTATTTACATAAAGTTATTAAAAAAGGTCAACCCAAATGCTTCAAATCCCCCCAAAAACAGATCTTTTTTTGTTTCAGATCATTATTTTCTCAAGAAAAAAAAGGACAGATTTTTAGAGTATAATATCTTCTTATACTATGACAAATTGCCCATCAAAGAGGGGATTTTGAGTTTTGACCCTTGCGTGTGATTTCTTTTGTCCTATTCATTTGTATATCATCAAGGACTGCAGTATATATATATATTTTTTGGTGAAGGCAGAAACAAATTGCATCAATCTATCTGTATCCATCTGGGTTGGCTGCTTAGCTCAAACCGAACTTGTGTCTTTCCTTGCTGGATTTGAGCTGTTATGCACGAAATTTCTCCTTTTTTGGCTGCCAATAAGGTTAGATATGGTTTTGCTTTTCCTATTTGCCAGCTGAAGAACACTGGGTTTCTCCCTTTTGCTCCATTGGAACTTATTTGATCTCAGAGGTGACATCTTTCCTCTTATTTCATTGGTCTTAGTGATGGGTTTTTGATATTTTTGTTGTGCTTGTGATTTTCTGGAAATTCCTCTGGTGAGCTTAAAGTTTTGATCTTTAATTGTTTATTGAGGTTGGGTTTTTTCTGCTCTTCTTGATGATGGGTTGGAAGGTTCTGAGATTGTTGATTTGGGTTCTGCTCATATTCGATTTGGCATGTTTTTCTGTTGGATTATTTACTCCTCAAGATGTGTATCTTATTGATTGTGGTTCATCGAGCGATACGGTTTTGAGTAATAGAACCTATATCTCTGATAAATCAGCCTCAAAATATCTTTCAGCTTCTAATTCAGTTCCGGCTACTACTTCTTCAAATTCTGGTGGTTTACCCCTCTATCAAACTGCTACAATCTTCACTGAAAAATCTAGCTACAGGTTTCCAATCACCCAAAATGGGAGAATCTGGATCCGTTTGTATTTCTCCCCCTTTGTTTATGGCAGTTACGATATGAGCTCTGCGGAATTCACTGTTTCAACCGACAAAAATGTCCTCCTTGGGAATTTTTCTCCCAAGAGTGTAATAATGAAAGAGTTTTTAGTAAATGTGACATCCGGGGAGATCTCGATCACGTTTGATCCTTCTTCAAATTCATTCGCTTTCATAAATGCTGTGGAAGTTATTTCAGCACCAGACTTTCTCATCCCAGATGATGCCACTATAGCCGGTACCTCATCATCATTCCCTGGTCTAGTGAATAATGCCCTAGAAACAGTTGCAAGGGTTAATATGGGTGGAAGTCTTCTGACGTCTACAAATGACACATTAGGCCGAACTTGGGTGAATGATCAAGCTTTCTTGGTGTCTCCTGGTTCTGCAGTCGACGATAAATCTGCGATTCCATCCGTCCAGTATCCCCAAGGTGGTGTAACAGAAGAGATTGCTCCCCGTACTGTTTATGGTACTTGTGCTAAAATGAACTCATCTGGCGGTACTGATGTCACTTTCAATGTCACATGGCGGTTTAATGTGGACACTGGCTATCAATATCTCCTTCGGCTGCACTTTTGCGACATTGTAAGCACCGCTGCTAATAATATCGTCTTTGATATTTATCTAAATACGCGAAGTCTAATTCAAGATTTTGACATAAGCACAAAAACTTTCAGCACCTTGGCAACTGCTTACTTTCAGGATTTTGTTACACCGCCAGCCGATACTGATACGCTGCTTCTAAGTATTGGTCCATCACTTACTAATCCTTACCATGATGCCTTTTTGAATGGGCTGGAAATTTTGAAGTTGAACAACTCTTTGGGTAGCTTAAGTGCTAGTGTGTCTGTCCCTTCTCCAGCTAAGCAGAGCTCAAAGAAGAACTTGGGAATGATAGTGGGTCTTAGCATTGGAATACCAATTGCTTTATTGATGGTTGTGGTATTGTTCTTGTGTATGCGGAGAAAGAAGAAACAAGAGCGTCTTGGCTCGAAAACATGGGTCCCCATCTCCATTAATGGAGGCATGTCCCACACCATGGGAAGCAAATACTCAAATGGAACAACCATTAGTACTGCTTCTACTCTGAGCTATCGAATTCCTTTTGCAGCAGTTCTTGAAGCAACAAATGACTTTGACGAGAGCTGGGTTATTGGAATTGGTGGATTTGGGAAAGTTTACAAGGGAGTTTTAAGTGATGGCACTAAAGTAGCTGTTAAGAGGGGTAATCCGAGGTCCCAACAAGGTTTTGCTGAGTTTCGAACTGAAATTGAGATGCTTTCGCAGTTCAGACATCGGCATTTAGTTTCGCTGATTGGTTATTGTGATGAAAAGAATGAGATGATTTTAGTGTATGAATATATGGAAAATGGAACTGTCAAAAGTCATCTTTATGGCTCCGATCTTCCCAGTTTGAGCTGGAAACAGAGGTTAGAGATTTGCATTGGAGCTGCTAGGGGGCTACACTACCTTCACACTGGCTCCACAAAAGCTATTATCCACCGTGATGTAAAATCTGCTAATATCTTGCTTGACGAGAACTTTTTGGCAAAAGTTGCCGATTTTGGATTGTCGAAGAGTGGACCTGAGATGGATCAGACTCATGTCAGTACTGCTGTGAAGGGAAGTTTTGGGTACCTTGATCCTGAATACTTCAGAAGGCAGCAGCTCACGGAAAAATCTGATGTTTACTCTTTTGGGGTTGTATTGCTTGAAGTTCTATGCGCAAGACCAGTGATTGATCCTACGCTTCCTAGAGAAATGGTAAACTTAGCTGAATGGGCTATGAAGTGGCAGAAAAAAGGGCAGTTGGATCAGATCATTGATCCTACTTTGGTTGGAAAGATCAGACCAGATTCTCTGAGAAAATATGCCGAAACAGCAGAGAAGTGCTTGGCTGATTATGGAGTAGACAGGCCTTCAATGGGAGATGTCCTGTGGAATCTAGAGTATGCAGTTCAACTTCAAGAAGCAGTAATTCCAAATGATCCTGATGAAAACAGCACGAATGTCATCGGCGAGCTGTCTCCTCAAGTGAATAACTTCACTCACAATGATGATACAACTCCTTCAGTTGTTGAGGTGTCTCAGGTGGACGATCTCTCTGGAGTTTCAATGAGTAGGGTATTTTCACAACTAGTGAAATCTGAGGGTAGATAAACTGATGAAGCCCTCAAAAACATGTCTCCTACAATGGATTTAGCACAGATCTCTTGTTTCCTTTGATTTTTGTGCCTGTTTGCATCTTGAACCATATGAAAATCATTTTTATTTTATTTTTTATCAATATTGTGTACAATCTAGATTTACAGAGATTATACATCTTCCAACTTTATGCTTTTCTTTTTTCTTTTTTTTTTTTCCTTTTGTGTTTTTTGTCACGTGCTTGTGGTCTCACAACAGAAGAGTTATGGTTTCGATCATTTCATTCCATTTCTTCAGAACAGGAAAATGTCATCACACCATTTTTTATATTAGAAATCTGACTCCCCAAAAGGGGTACTGCATAGAATTTATCCAAATATATTGGTTGGGAGCTCAGCTTGATACACTGTTTAGTTTGCATCTTGTGTCAGTTAAGCTGAAGAAAAGGATAACTACTGTCTATATATACAATTCTGGGAGCTACATAGTGTACCCTAAAACTCAAAACTAGCATGCTTCTGAACCGAGCAGCTATAACTAACCAAATGTCACTTCATGAATCGCCTTCTTCAAGTCTGTACCTGTGTTTTCACATCTGCTTAAGCTAGATTGAATTCCCGATGCACATTTTTTGAATTTCCTGGCACCAGATGGATTTGGTTGCGGCACTGGGGCTAAGGTTTATTTCAGCATTTTTTGTATGATCATCTATGCCATAGAAATATATCCACTGATTTTGTCAGAGCCGGAATGTACCTTTGAATTGTGAGAAGTTTAAGTGCCCTTCAATCATTCATACACATCCTTCATGAAAGGCGAGAACTTGGTGGACATGATCTTAGTTCGTACCCCGAGTTCTTTTCCAAAATTAGGGATATAAATTTTGGACTTACAAAAAAGAAAAAACATACAAACTCCGACCTACACTATCTAGATTAAGCGACTCCTTTGGCTCTGCGCTGCCATTATTTTCTCCGAAGGTGTGAATTTAGCAGGGCTATGCTGCACTCTAGTAAAGCATCTGTAGCGAATATGTCGATATTAGCTTCTTCCACCTATATGAGATAATCATCAGCATTCAGTAACTTAAAAACCACAATTGGATACAAAAATAATGAGTTCAAAGCCTATTTTGCCAAGCAGAACAGTTCAATCAAGAAACAAAGCAAAAAAATATATATATATTCCCTGCCCTGCATGGGATAGAAACAAAGTAAAATACTGTGACAAAAGAGAATGATTTTTCTATTATGATACTAACAGCTATATAATGTGAAGACATATAACTGGCTCTAGATTCAGAAGTTTCGAGATGGTTACTACATCAGATTAGCACTAAAACTTTCACCAGCTTTTTGTTAATCACAATTTTGATTTCCTACATGAAGAAAACAGACATCCAGACACAGACATTTCTAGTGGTCAAGAAATTCAAACTGTACACACCAAAAAAAAAAAAAAATTATAATAATATCAAATATTTGCAAATAGATCTGACCTCAATTTGTGCATCAACCATCACTTTGGACTCTGATTCCACCTCTGGTTCTGAGTCTGCCATTTCTTCACACTTGAAGTTCGCATTCAGTTCAATTTAATCACCCTCAGAGTCACTTGATTATTTTTGTTCCGTCGCAGTTTCGGGAAGAGCTGGGTCCAAATATTATCAGCACTGTTTCAACACCTTAAACTACCCGAATCAAACTTACTGCCATAAAAGTTGAGGACCACAGATACATAGTGTGTGGATTGCATTGGAGAATTCTAAACCATAAGAGATTTAAAGATTTTACAGAGCCTGCAACAGATGTAGCTCCCCCGCTTTGATTAAATGCACCATCTCCAGCACCCAAGGGTTCAGGCCATCTGGATGTGGAACTGTACGTCCATTAGATTTCTCACTGGGGCTTAACTTTGGAGGGCTATAATCGATTATGACCTGATCACTTCTTCCCTGGGATGACTTCGGATTTCTGGAAAAGTGAATAGAACCTGGGGAACCAAGCTAGAGTTCATTAGCATTCCCTGAGTGCCACTAGCTCCACCTAGTAAAACAGCAGTAAAAAACTTCCCATACTCTGACGTCATCACCCATATTTTGAAAGCCATCCTCACAATCTGTTTCTTGAAGAAATGTCTCAAGTTCATCTAGTGTAGAGCTAGCGAGCGAATAACGTGTTCTTGTTTGCATCCATATAGCATCCTCATCATCCCAACTCACAACAGGCTTTCTGGAAAGTGACAGACTGTTGAATTTCCAAGCCAGCAAATCACTGGTGGCATTTATCAGAGTGTTAGATCTGTTTTGAATTTTTTGCCGCTCCCAACTTTCAGAATGTATAGCGCATTCTACAACTGAACAAGTTTCCATTTGGATGACAACCTCCTTACCTGTGATCAGTTTTCACCACAGGATAGTCAGTCCTCCTGTAATGGATTTGCAGGCTTGGTCACTGACTCAGTTACCAAGGCCACAGAAGCACAGTTGGCAACATCACCATGCAATCCATCTTCTTCTTTTCTTTTTCTTTTTTTTTTCCATGCATCCATCTATTTCTGAGCTGAAGCTAGAAGAAACTTCTCGCGAAAGGCTTCTTTTAAAATAGGATTAAGATCCATGTGAATTCCGATATCAGCCTAGAGGCCATCTGTTTGCATTCGTTGAAAAATAAATAAAAATACAAATTCACAGAAATATTTCAACTGCTCAAGTAGCCCCTAACTTCCTTGGAAATTCTCATCCAATGCAACAATTAGAAGAAAAAACAAAATCGAAGCTACCCTTCAAGAGTTTCGAAAAGTTAATAGTAAACCAACCTGGAGCCTTTCCATTTGGACTACGCAGGATGGAATAGCACCCGCACAACTATTCCAATCTCTCCGTTGCCCGCTATCAGTTATGCAGCTTCTGAAGCTCCAGATTCAGTTAGCAACCTGATGAGTATTAAGGTTAACATGATTTTTCATCTAACAAATTAGTTCCAACCTATAACATGGTTTGAACAGCAAGTTAGTTTTTGTTTTCCATTCTATAATATGACACAAACAGTGATAAGAACCATTACAATGCAAAACTTTGGACACCATTCTTCCTAGGAGAAAATTAAAGTTCAGGTAGCCTCGTATAAATGATGAAATGCAAGAGAATAGGAAAGGGTTGTAAAAATCACTAAGGCAAATAATTCACCTTTGATTTTATACTTCAAAACTGCTAAGATAACTGAAATTCCTGCACTTCCATAAGATTCTTAACATTTGATGAGGTCTTTGGATCTTCAGACATGACAGCTATTGCTTGCTTGAGAATCGCACTATTCTTATCAGCTGAATCAGGAAAGCTCTTGGTATGAACCATTTTTTCAAGTACCCCTAATGCCACAGTATGGTTTGAGGTAGATATGAAAGCATCAATCAGAGCAACATAAATGTATGCATCAGGAATCATCTTTCTATCCTCCATAATCTGCAGATATGTCAGAGCAGCAGGCGCCTTATTGCACTTGCAGAGTCCATTAATGAGAGCCATAAAAGCAACTCTATTAGGAGGACATCCATTTTCTTCCATTGTATTCAACAACTTCATAGCAGCATCTGATCTGTTTAAATTACACAATCCGTCTATTAAAGTTGTGTAAGTAATGACATTGGGTTCTTGTTCTTTCTCAGTCATCTGTGATAAGCATAAAGTAGCCTGATCAATATCACCAATTTTACACCATCCATCAATTAGCAAGTTGTAAGTAACCACTGATGGAATAAGCCCTTTCTCCAACATTTCATTCAGATATTCTTTAGCTTCAGGCAGTTGTTGAGAAGCACACAATCCATCTATCATGATATTGTAGGCAACCACATCAGGGCAATAACCACGTCCGCAGATGTCATTAAATAGCTGCAACGCCTGGTCACCTTGTTTGATGTTCCAAAAGCCCTTAAGAACTGCAGAATAAGCAATTATGCTAGGAAGAAAACCATCTCGAACCATTTCATCAAGAAAGTTACAAGCCTCGACTGCTCTTCCATGTTCACACAATTTACTTATCAGCAGTGTGTAATTTTTTATCCACGGCTCATAGCCATTTGCACGCATTTCTTTGAAAACATTACGGGCCTCAACAACATCTAATCTCCGGCATAAGCATCTGAATAAAGAGTTGTAGGTGAATTCTGTAGGCTGAAATCCTGATTTCTTCATCTCAATCAGCAATTCATAGCATTCATTCAACCTATCAGCATCGCTCAAACGATCAATCATATTATTGTATAGCAACAGACTTCCCTGGCATTTTACGCTATCTATATCACGGAAGAGGCCTAGAGCCTCATCAAACTTGTCAACCGAACAAAGTGCATCTATCACTATTTCAAACGATGTGGTATTTGGGCTAACAAGTTCCTCTACTGCAAATAATTCATCTCCCTCATGATTAAAACTACTTCCATCCCCCATCATTGATTTTAGAAGGTCATAAGCCCTATCAACTGAACCAATATTGACAAGGCCTTTGAGAACAGAATTATACAACAAAAGAATTGATTTAAAACCTAAGACCTGTGGCCTCGCCTGTAGTAACTGGATCATTTCTCTTTCATTAGGCACGCATGATATGAGGTCGCAGAGTATTTTAACATCAGGTTGAATACCCACTTGGTTCATCCGTGAGTACAACTGTAAAGCTTTCTCAAACTCCTCCTTCTTGCAAAGACCTTCAATTAGCACACCAAAAACTGAAATTCCTGGACAGATTCCCAGTTTCTGCATTTTATGTAGTAATTCTAAGGCCTTTTCGAGACTTCCTTCTTTCACAAACCCATGAATCAGCACAGAAAATGTCTTCTCGTTCAAGCTAATTTTAAGATTCTCAATGATTTCTATGAGCTTAAATGCTTCATCCACTTGCCCTAACTTGCTAAAAGACACTACCAAAATAGCTAAAACATGAGCATCAAGCCAACCCATCTCCTTCATTTCATAAAAAACACGCAAAGCTTTCTGAGACTTTCCTGCATTGCAA